CAGCTACACAGCTTGGCACGCTTGACCAGGTCCCAGCGGCGCTTGATTGTCAGCGCCCTGAATTCCGGACACTCTGCTGTGGCATGGCTCTTGCTGCACTTGGCACACTGCTGAGTACTGAGCTCCACAGCATACACAGCAGATGACCTAGGCTTTGGCGGGACCGCAGGAGGTGTCTTGTTCAACTTCTCTGTGCCGACTGTCGCCAAGATGTCATCGGCTCGCTTAGCGTTCTGGACCCGTTTTACCAGCCAGAACGACAACGTGGTTGCGTTGCATTTGCTGTCTGGATGTTGTTCGTAAAATCGTATAACTACACTTCTGGGTAGCTTCTCCAGCGCACTTAGGAATAGCTCCCTACCAGGGGTCTCTCCAGCCAAGTCCAGGTTCATGAGCACATTTCTGAGCTTGACAGCAAACTTCCGGACAGACTCGGTGTCCCTGTCAGAGGCAATGCGTGGGTGATTCAGAATCTCTCTCTCTTGCAAGGCAAGATGGCGGTCAGAACCACCAAACCAGCGCTCAAGCTCCGTCCAGGCTGCAGTGTATGCACCCGGACCGTCGAACATATCCGCGATAATGTCTTCGGCCGAGCTACCCTGCAGCGCCTCCTTCAGTCGTGCCAGTTTATATTCGTCAGAGACGAAGCGGTCCTCGTCCACGAGGCGCTTAAATGTTTGTTTCCACCGTACAAACTGCTGGGTCCTGCCACTAAATTTGGGCAGCTCTAGTGGCTTCAGATGGTGAAAAGCGCTTACTCCATGTGGCCGTTGCATACTGGCAAGCCAATCGCTAACATGGGGGTCGACAGCAGATTCCGTTAGAGGAGACCACTCAGAAAGTCTACTGGCAGGAGCACTATAACCAACTGACGTCACACTTAGTCTGCTGCTCAGACTACTTGGCTTTGGTGGTGGTGTTGGCCGTGTGCGTGGTGCTGGTAGAGGTGGCACAGGCCGCATGTGCGGTGGTGTTGACGGTGGCACAGGGGTAACCTGTTCTGCGACTGTTGATTGTTGGCCTGATGCCACTTGGCCAGAAACCGACTCAACAGGCGAATCCAAGATCGCCTCAGCAGCAGCCATCACACCAACACTCTCCTTATCAAACTTCGCCTCCCACTCGTCCAACTCATTCAGCAGTTGCTCACTCTCTTGGGATTCCAACATGCTGCGCATAATTTCTAAAACCGAATTCAGCTCTGACCGTACAAATTCTAATTCACGGACATCAGGCTGCAAATATCGGCGAGACGGCGACGAGCAAGCAATCAGAGTTCGCAAGCGGTTACTGATCCGCGTGTGGCGTCTACGGAGGTTTGTTCTCCGACGAATCAACTCTTTCCAGCGGTCCTCAAGTTCCTCAACAGGAGTTTCACCCACGCTCGTACCATAATGGCGTGGCGTAAAACTACGAGTCACAAACTCTGGTGGTGGCGGAAACGCCATTACCACCGCTGACACTACTAGTCGAAACCTGTCGGATCCGGCTCGAAGGACCAAATGGTTCACCGGTTCCCTCGCAAACCCACACTTGCATCAGACACAACCATTGGAAGCATCGAACTATTTAGAAGACTGTATTACCAAACATGTTCTCAAAACACCATTGAAGGAACATGGCCAACTTCCGCGACGAGGTGTTACGAGCTTACGACAGACACACACCCTCTAAGCCCAATCTGACGCAGGAGGAGCGGGTGGAGCTGAAGCGACTTCGCACAGACCAAGAAACCATCATCAAACCATCGGATAAAAGTAAAAAACTCGTTGCTATGAGACAGGAGCTGTATTTGCAGAAAGCAGAAGACATATTATCGAACATGACCATGTATGAGAAAGTAGATTTGACCATAGAGTCCTACGAGACCAAGACACGAGAAGTAATACTGTCAGAGTGCAAGAACATGGATTCAAAACTCCTAAAGTCAATCCTACCAAGCAGTACGAAGTTCCCCGAGTGGTACGGTCTTCCAAAGGACCATAAGCAGAACTTACCATTGCGACCCGTGGTAGCAGCGTGCGACAGCCCAACGACTGGAGTATCTATCGTATTGGAGCGCATCCTACAGCAGCTCATTCAATTTGTCCCGGCCCACCTGGCTAACACGACGGAAGCAATAACCCACATCTGTGACGCATGTCCGGGATTGAACGCCCCCGATGGCACCATTGTTATGTCCATGGATGTAGTCGGGTTATATCCGAGCATACCTATTCGGGAGGGCGTTCAGGCAGTGGTGGATATGCTGCAGCAATATTCCCAGCGGATCGACATGTTTGGGCTGAGTGTGAGCGGGGTACGGAATCTGCTGCTGTTTGTTCTCAGCCACAACTATTTCAGATTTGGCCATCAGATCTATCACCAAGTGGACGGGGTTGCAATGGGTAACAATCTTGCACCCCCATTTGCGATTCTATTCATGCATACGGTTGAGGCCAGGCTTCTGCAGGATTCTCCGTTAGTACCGCTCCTCTACAAACGCTACATCGACGATATCCTGCTGCTATGGACCCACGGCAGAGAGAGCTTGATGCGGTTTGTGCAGCATTTCAACTCTGCACACCCAAGTATCAACTTCACATATGAGCTCAGCGAGGTGAGTGGCTCCATAAATTATATGGATATCACAATTATGATCCAGGAAGGCAAGCTGGCATACAAGCTGTACCAGAAGGCATGTGCTAGTGGTCTACTCATTGATTATACTTCGGCAGTTCCCCACCATATCAAATTGGCAGTTGCTTCGTCACAATTCCTAAGAGCTCAGAGGCTCTCATCGAATACCAGAATGCGTGCAGAAAGTGAAGCGATGGTTCATGAGCAATTAAGATTGAACAATTACCCAGAGAAAATCATTGAAGAGGCACGCACTGCCTCCATAAGGCCAAAGCGTCGTCGCCATGCCAACCCATGCTGCGCATTTCTAAAGCTTCCATATAAGTCAGATAAAGTACATCAAGCAGTGAATAAAGCAATCAGAAAGTATAAAATTCCGGTTAGAGTCGTATATGAGCACACCGGTAGCCTGAGGCGCACATTGTGTCGCTCCGCCCTCGTTCCTCCTCTATGTGTCAAGGCTGCAAATCCGCTACAACCGAAAAAGAGAGGTCGCCCAAAGGGGCCATGTATCTCGTGTATATCCGGGGGACAGGATGTATGTATGCAGAAGAATGTTGTATATCAGCTGAAGTGCAAAGAATGTCCGGAACAATATGTTGGTGAGACTGGCCGCTTTCTGGAAACTCGCCTGGAAGAACATAATGGTGAGGCAAGACGCCAGGAACTCGACAAGCCATGGGGCCAACATTTTCGCACCACTCACCCTGGATGTAAGCTTAACTATGGGCAAAGTGCATTCTCTGCAGTTGAAGTAATAGGAAGAGAGCCTGATCGAGCCCGTCGAAAACTGCGCGAGGCGATTGAGATTCGTGATGCCAAGCCCCATGTGAACATAAGCACCGGATGGGATTTGTTGTGAATTTTCTCAGCTTCCCCTGCTGCTACTTCAATATCACTGAATAATTATAATATGAGGCGGGTCACTCAAAACCATTCTATTCCTGATGCCTCGTCGCGTCCCTGGTGGTAACAGTTTGGCATGGAAGTTTTAACCTCATAGTGCATTGACTCATGGGGCTCCGTGCTCCCCTCCTAGATCCTGTGCTAGAATTAACACCATAATTATTTGGCATGTACCCTCACTTCGTAGAGCACAACGGCGCGCTCTTCTTCTCCGTGATGTGCACAGTTGCACCTTCTCTCTCCCCCCCCCCCCCCTCTGTATAGAGGTGACATAACTCGCATCATTTTATTTTTTGGCGCTACACTCTGTGCAACGCCATTCACAGAGCACAATGCGCGCTACCTTTTGCTGCTTCTCCTCCGTGATGTGCTAGTTGCGCCTTTTTTTCTCTCTCTCTGTCATACTAGGTGACATAATTCGCATCTTTTTTGGCGCTACACTCTGCGTATATACTGCTCTTGTGTGGCTTCCACGGTATTCATTGTTATTACCTGATGATGGCCAAGAGCCGAAACGTTGTAAAATAACGGAACTGGTTCGGATGTGATATGCAGCGCTATGGGAATGGGTGTGTCCACCCGAATTCTTTTCACCATTGAAGAATCTAACTCAAAAAAGAACAAAGAACGGAGAGCTGGGGACGCACGTACCCGGCCCCGTACCGGACACACAGCCAAGAAGGACGACACCGTAGCGTCCCCACGCTTGACTGGCAAAGAAAACAGCAAGCAAAGAAAATCGGCCAGCGGGCGCAGTTCAAACATCTTGAACGACACGCTCAAAGCAAAACACGTGACAGAAAATAATGCATGATGTCATCTGTACTCACGCGGACATGCAAAAAGGTCAAATCTACACAAAAGCGAGTGCCGCAAGAAACAACACAAATAAATAATAATTCAAACAGCGAAGAACTAGAAAGGCAGATTTCTAATTATCGAAGAACAAGAATGTATCGTAGAGTCCCAGCGCAACTGCCGGAGGATGCTGGCACCCACCAGACGGGTGGTGGTTGCCCCTGCCAGAGAGATAGAACGAAAACTGAAGCAGAGGAGCCACGTTACAAATAGTGAAACGCACGAGGTAAGAATAATCGAGCAGTGTCCAATTACGACATACTGAGTAATATACATGTTAAACGAAGACAAACACTAACAAATGGAGAACGTTCCAACAGCTAGTTTGTGTGTTTCTGAACATTCAAGCGATGCCGACGCGGATCCCGCGAATATTATTATTATTAGTGAGGTAATATTGCATCATTCTTACCTGTTGTTGGTTGACAACATGAAACAAGGTGGAGGACACCGTGACCTTGTTTCATGTTGTCAACCAACAGCAGGTGTGAACTAAAACAAGGTTTATCCACTACTATTCTTACCTGTATTGAGGTAATATGACATCATTTTTACCTGCAGTGAGGTAATATGACATCATTTTTACCTGCAGTGAGGTAATATGACATCATTCTTACCTGTAATGAGGTAGTGTGAAGAACACTCGGCGAGTAGTGTCCGTAGCAGCCTGTGAGACACTAGTCGAGATTTGAAGGATGAACACGACCACCAAGTACACCTGGACGCAGTACAACACACACACAGACATGTTCACGTTCACGTAGCTGAACGTGCTCAAATTGTCAATGATGATATCGGCGATACAGCCGCACAACATTTCCCACGGTGAGCAACAGGTACGACGCATGCAGCTGAACCATCGCAGGCACAAACTGAACCCGCTGCGCCTCACAATACAGTAAATTATCATGTCCATTCCCAGAGGGAACTCACGACAACCGCTTATACCCAGTGAACCCTCACAAACCCAATGCAAGTACACGTATCTCTCCAAGATATCACGAGCAGCTAATGCAAGTGAATTCAGTGTTGTCAAGTCTGTTGTCGTGGCAAAATTTCCTGAATTTTCGTCTCTGAAGAAACATTTTCTGCACTTACCAACCCCAAGATGAACTGGAAGAATGCAATGGTTCCGTAGCCGACGAGTGGATTGCTGAACAAGAACGACCAGAGATACCCTAGCGGTATTCCACTCCAGCCGAACAACAACTGAACACAAAGGAGAA